ATATATATTGATATCGAATTATTGTCCAGCCCTATGTCATCCTACAATTCATGAGACACTGTCTATTATGTCTCCAGGATAGGATACGTAACAAACCACACCGGGTTCATACAGAAAACACCTCACACTTTAAGTGTCTTAACAAGTGTTGTAAAATTTATTGTGCCTGGCCTACCACGTACCTATCATACAACAGATGTATTATACAAAAAGGGTCATGCCATCTCTCCAGGGGCAAGCAGGCCAAAATAAACAGAAACCCCAAACTGCCTCCACCCAACACACACTACACTTAGCTACCAAAAGAAAGAAAATAAAAACACTTACAGCTACCCTATCTCCCTGGCTACACCAAAACAGGTACAAAGGAAGCATCCAAAGAAAATGGCGCCTACCCCCTTCCAGCAGTGGTAGACAAACACAATGAACCACACAAGCAAAAAAAACAGTATCAATAAAAAATATCACAATAATACCCAGCCCCACAGAGATAACAAAAAGACCATCACAAAAATATCTCTCCTCCCTACAACAAGAATTATCACATACTCTGAAAGCTACAGTAGGTTTCATTCAGTGTATTAATTGTACTGAATCAATCTTTGAATTGCAATTAATTCAAAATTCAGCGTAAAAATTTTTACTAACAGTACCTTTATGTGGAAGTTGTCCAGACTTGTACAACATTTACTTGCTCAGTTCATTGGGAAGTGTTTTGATGCACTTGTTTGTTGCTGTGCACAATTATTTTTGGGGCTCACATGCAGTGTAGGTGTGTTGCTGACTGTTCCTGTATGATGTTTGTCAATCTGTTAATGTCTTAGTGAACTCAGTGTCACTGTTGTGGTTACTGCTCTCTTAATTCTCATCTTCTTTATAGGATGGCTCATCTCCCATTGCTCTTCTTTCTGTCAGTTATGATGATGGATCAGGAAGGAATATTAGAGATTCAGCCCAGCCATCAGTTATGTGAGTGTCATTCTTTACTTCTGATTAAGAGAACTTTAATTCAATGTCTTACTGTTTCTTTTTGCATGATTAGAATGGAAATTTCGTCAGCCAAACATAATTTTTTGGGGTGAGCAGAAAACAGGAGAGTTTATATAGTTGTATATCCTTAAAAATCCTTTTTATTTGGGAAATAATGTTTATTTTGGTACAGCGGTAAAAATGATGAAGTAAAATGAGATGGTGCAGGCCAGGTTTGAATTATAGTCTAATAAATGTAATAATGGCCTTTTTAAGGTATATTAAGGTATACACTTAAAAATATTGAGGAAATAGTAAAGTTGTGAAATACCTTAAATATATCTAATGAAACCAAATATAAGCAAATGAACTGTACACACATTAACATTTTAGACATTTATTCTTCTCATATATGGTGATATGCAATAATGTCAATAATACATATCCCTATAAAACCAATAAGCCAACTCTGCATATTAATAAGGTCTCTTAAACAATGGTGTAATGTGCCAAGAATTACAGAGTCCATTTAGAATATGTCAGTCAACAGATCCTGTTTTGCATGAATGGAAACTTCAACTTGGATAATACAGTAAAACTGGTCTAAGTCGCCGGCTTGTAACTCGTCAATGTGCACAAGTCGACGCTCAAGCAAAAGTCCCGATTTTCCCTAATGATGTTTCCTTTAAAATTCCTTGTGTAAATCACCGCTTGTAAGTCGTCAAATTCCCTTAGTCGTCACCTAAATCCCGAAGAACACAAATGAATGGATTTTCCTACAGTACATGTAAGTCGACACCCCAATCGCTGCATTCCCGCCGCCTGCTTCTCACCGCCTGCTTGTCACCACGGCAATGTAGATTGTAGAAACGGGGAATCCCCACCTATCGCACTAGTCGCTCCCTGGTCTTAAGTCTCGCGTGTATAGTGCGGTGTAGTAGAGGTATGGTGTTATATTTACTAGTCGGCAAAACGGCGAGAAAGGCCCAATCCCAAAC